CAAAGACAACAATTTATCTTTCTGGAATTTTTTGTGCCAGGAGAGCTTTGCCCTTATTGCTAAAAGTGGCAGTTGCTTGCTGATTCTATAGCCTAACTCTCAGAAGGTAGTCTTACTGCTGTTACATTCCCATTTCTGTTTTCTTGGGGAGACCTCACAACCACCCTCTGGGATCCCCCTGGTTTGTTTCTCTCAAGCAGCACTAGCCACTTTCTACTTTTATGTTTGGCTCATAATTGACCGGGACAGTGTTGCTGGCATATAGCACCATAAAGTGTTTTCAATGTTTTGTTTTTTAAAACAATTTAGTTTGTGCAATCATTATCACTATTTCCAGAAGTTCTTTATCACCACAAACAGAAACTCTGTACCCATTAAGCAATAACTCTTCATTACCCCCTGATCTTAACCCTTGGTAATCTCTAATCTACTTTCTGTCTCTATGAGTAATTTGCCTATTCTAGATAGTTCATGTAAGTGGAATTATACAATATTTGTTCTTTGGTGTCTGACTTATTTCACTTAGCATGTTTTCAAAGTTCATCCATGTTGCAGCATTGTCTTAGTCCTCTAGTGCTGCTATAACAGAAATACCACAAGCGGATGGCTTTAACAAACAGAAATTTATTCTCTCTTAGTTTAGGAGGCTAGAAGTCTGAATTCAGGGGGCCAGCTCTAGGGGAAGGCCTTCTCTGTCTGTTGGCTCTGGGGGAAGGTGCTTGTCATCAACCTTCCCAGGTCTAGGAGCTTCTCAGCGCAGGAACCCCAGGTCCAAAGGATGTGCTTCACTCCTGGCTCTTCTTGGTGATAATGAGGTCCCTTTCCTTTCTGCTTGAGTCTCTCTTTTATATCTCAGAAGAGATTGACTCAAGATACACCCTAATCCTGTAGATTGTTTTCTGCCTCATTAATATAACTGCCTTTAATCCTGCCTCATTAACATCATAGAGGTTAGGATTTACAACACATAGGATAATTACATCAGATCACATAATGGAGAACCACCACACAATACTGGGACTCATGGTCTAGCCAAGTTGACACACATTTTTGGTGGATACGATTCAATCCATAACAAGCATATATCAGAAATTCACTTCTCTTTATGGTTGAATAATATTCCATTGTATGTATAGACCACCTTTTGTTTGTCCATTCATCTGTTGATGGACACTTGGGTTTTTCAGTCTTTTGGCTATTGCGAATAATGCTGCAATGAATATTCAAGTACATGTATATGTTTGAGTCCTTGTTTTCAATTCTTTTGAATATATACATAGGAGTGGAATTGCTAGGTCATATGGTAATTCTATGTCTAACATTTTGAAGAACTACCGATCCATTTTCCGCAGCAGCTGCACTATTTTACATTCTCGTCAGCATTTGTATATCTTCTTTGGAGAACTGTCTATTCAAGTCTTTTGCCTATTTTTTATTTGGGTTGTTTTTTGTTATTGAGTTGTAATTCTTTATATATTCTGAATATTAAACATGTGATCTGCAAATGTTTTCTCTCCTTCTGTAGACTGTCATTTCACTCTCTGTTGATGTACAAAAGTTTTAATTTTTATGAAGTTCAATTTATCTATTTTTTCTTTCATTGCTTGTGCCTTTAGTGTCATATTTAAGAAACAATTGCCAAATGCAAGGTTGTGAATTTACCCCCATGTTTTCTTCTATGAATTTTATAATTTTAGCCCTTAACTTTAGGCTTTTACACCATTCTGAGTTAATTTGCATATGCGGTGTGAGGTAGGGGTGCAGTTCCTTCTTTTGCATGTGGATGTCCAATTTTTCCAGCAACATTTGTTGAAGACATTGTTCTTGGCACTGTTGTTGAAAATCAATTGACCACGTGAGGGTTTATTTCTGGGCTTTCAGTTGGTCTATATGATATGTTTATCCTTATGCCAGTACCACACTGGCTTCGTAGTAAGTACAAAGCTTTGTAGCTTTGTAGTAAGGGTTGAAATTGGAAAATGTGAGTCCTCCAACTTTGTTCTTCTTTTTAATTATTGTTTTGGCTATGCTAGGTCCTTTGAAATTCTGTATGAATGTTAGCATAGGTTCTTCCACTGGGATTTTGCCTTCGGGATTTTGATAGAGTTGCACTGAATCTGTAGGTCTTTTTGAGTAGTACTGTCATCTTAGCAATAATAAGTCTTCCAATCTAAGAACACATTTTTTTTTTATTTATTTAGATTTTCTTTAAACTCTTCCAATGATTTTTAAAATACTTTTCAATGTACAAATCTTGTGCCTCCTTGGTTAAATTTATTCTTACCGTTTTATTCTTTTTGATGCTATTATAAATGGAATTGTTTCCTAATTTCCTTTTCTGGTTGTTCATTGCTAGTGTATAGAAATACACCTGATTTTTGCACATTGACTTTGTATCCTGCAACTTGACTGAATTCGTTTATTAGCTCTAGCAGTTTGTGTGTGTGCGCGCGCGTTCTTTTAGATTTTCTACATATAAGATCCTGTCATCTGTGAATAGAATAGAGATAATTTTACTTCTTCTTTTCTAATTCGGAGGCCTTTTATTTCTCTTTCTTGCCTAATTGCTTGGCTAGAACTTCCAGTACTGTGTTGAACAGACATGGTGAGAGCGGCATCCCTTAGAATGATGATTAGTTTGCTGAGTGATCATGAGTGGGCACCTCCTCTCTCTGGGCCTCATTTTCCCCATCAGGTAACACAGGGTGGGTGGATTTATCAGGAGGGATGCACAGGGTGCCTCCTCTGGGCTTGGCATGCTCTTCTAGGAGGGGTCCAGCTTGGACGTGGGAGTCAGTGATCAACAGGGTTCCTCGTGGGAGCAGAGTGTGAGCCAATCATGCCCCCTGCCCTGCTCCCCACTAAAGGCCGGGCTCAGGGCAAAGATACCACAGTGAACTGTGAGGGATCCCAGCACATCCATGACCTTCCCCGCTGTTGGCCTTCCTCATGCAGAGGATGGGCGAGGAGGGTCATTTCACCCTGTGCTGCGTCTCTTTTTCCAGGTAGTGAACCGGCTCGGCCTGGACTCCCTGTCTCCCTTCAATCCTAAGGAGCGGATCATCGAGTGAGCACCTCCCCAACCCTATCTGGAGCCAGAGGCACCTTCTAAGTCCCTGTGGGCATCATGCAGGGGGCAGGGCTCTGTGTGGCTCCTGTCCTTCCAGATCCTTCTGTTTGGTCACTCATTCATTCAACAAACATCAGAGGGCCTTGTGCTGGGCCTGGGATGAGGGCCTGGGCGGGGGCGGGGTGAGACAGAAACAAGGTCCTTGCTTCATCCTAACAGTAGGTCCCTCTGAGCCTGCTGCCTGCTCTGCAAACTGGGGACAATGTCCTTGCTGGTGAAGGCTGTGGTGTGGGGAGCAGGGTGGGACTGGTCCTGACCCCAGCTTCATCCTCACAGCCTGGTAGTAGGGTTGTGACAATGTCACGGCACCCTGGAAACTTCGTGCCCAAAACACTCGGGAGGGCTGTGTCTTCATGGCTGACAAGGGGAGTTTGTAGGGTCCTGGGGGAGCGAGCTGGAGCCACAAAGAGTGTGGCCCCTGCAGTGGCCCTCCCAGAGAACAGCCCCCAGGAGCGGGACCTCAAAGGAGCCTGACACTTCCCCATCTCTGTACCTCAGTACAGCCACTCCAGGAAGTTGCCCCAGGCGTGGAGGGAACTCACCATCTGCCGCTGTGTCCCCTCTGAGCCCCATGCAGATGGGACGGCAGAGCAGCCTAGTCCGACTCCCAGATGGGGACACGGGGGATGGAGGGGACGTGGCTTGCTGGGTCCACCCATGAGCCAGTGGCTCGTGTAGGGCTCTGCCTCTGACCTGCAGCAATGGGAGGGACGGGCTCTTGCGCAGGCCCAACGCCCCAGGGCAACGACCCCACAACTCCCTCCCCTCCGCTAAGCCGTCGCCTGCCCACAGGTACCTGGTCCCAGAAGGCCAGCCGGAGCAGTGCCTGGTAAACAAGTCCCTGGGCGCCTTCGTCCGCGAGGTGGGAGCTCGCTCGGCAGCCCCGGGGGGCGGCTCAGTGGCAGCGGCTGTAGCGGCCATGGTGAGCGCAGGGCCTGGGGGGAGGGGCACGTCGGTATCCCAGAGCCCGAGATCCCACTAAGGGGAGTAGGGGCTGCGACACCACTGTCCAGGACCCCACTGCGGGTCGCAGGGGCGGAGTCCTTGCTCTGCTAGGACTCAGTGGTGCTATGGGCTGAGGGGGCGGGCACCACAGCGGGACCCCACTACGCGGGACGTGGAGGTGAGGACCCGTGGGGCTGTCGCAGGCCTAGGAGTAGCGGTGTTTCTGTGCTGGGTCGACTCCGCTGTCGATCTCTGGGGTCCGAATACCCGGGGCGGACAGAGCGCCCAGCGTGAGTGCCAGTGTCCCGGAGCCCGCAGCCCGCCTCTCCCCAGGGCGCGGCGCTGGCTTCCATGGTGGGCCTGATGACCTACGGGCGGCGCCAGTTTGAGCACCTGGACGCAGAGATGCGGCGCCTGATCCCGCCCTTCCATAAGGCCTCAGCCCAGCTGACCGCGCTGGTGGACACCGACGCCCAGGCCTTCGCGGGTTACCTGGTGAGTGTGCACGGCCCACGGCCTCGGTTTCCCCGGTCCTAGAGGCTTTGGAGACCCGAGAGAGGACTGCAAACACCTGTCTAGGGGCGTGGGGGCAGGAGGGGGTGTCTGAAGGAGAGAAAGGGCCAGGCCAGGGTCTCAGAGAACAGGTCAGTGGACAGGCGGAGTGCGGGCTAGGGAGGCCTGGTGGGGGGGTGGGGGTGCTTGAAGAGCAGAGGCCTGGAGACCAGGAGTGCCCAGACACGGGGGCAATTGTCCAGCTGTTATTTGGGACCAGGGCAATCAGCACGACCCGGCCTCCCCTGACGCCTCTCTCGCTGCCAGCACAAGCCTGAGGCCAGCGGGCCGTGGGGGTTGGCCCAAGAATGACTGCGCAGCTCACAGGCCACAGCGGTGGCAGGGGTGGCGTGGGAGGCCACCGTGCAGGGTGCTCCCACCAGCCGCAGTCAGAGGCCAGCCTGGCTGCCCCCGAGCGCCCACAGACAGCAGGGCGTCGACTGCACAGAAGTGCCCACGATCCAGATGCCACAGATGCAGGGGGATGGCCGAGAAGGAACCATCCCACAGAAGAACTCAGACCTAAGGAGGTGGAGTAAACATCTCACAAGAGGAAAGACAGGGTGATTGATAGCTTGGGGAGATCGGAGAAGACATTCCAGCTCTGCAACAGAAAAGGAACCCATGGAGCGCTGGGAAATGAACATTGTGAAGTAACCCACCTGCGCCAGGAAGGCCAGTTCACGGAGCATGCACATCGGGGGTGAACTGGCAAGTGGGTCCACAGAGGAGGGGAGTCACGCAGACCTTGGGGCGATCGTGCAGAGAGAAACTACCAAAAAACATCAGAGACACAGAGGGCAAGGTTGAGGATTGGCACTGCGAGCAGGAGAGGGGGTCTGGAGGGAGACACCGTGGGAGAAGGGCGGGGTTAGAGACAGCAAGAGAGACACTCTCAGACCCGGAGACAGAGCCCAACAGCGGGGCAGGTGAGCGGGGAAAACCCGCCCCGGCGAGCCTGTGAGGTTCCACAGTTCCACAGGCACGGAGACAGCCTAAAGGCTCAGGGACCAGAGCCAGTTCTGGGAAGTCGCAGAGTCCGACAGCACCAAGGTCTCGCCAGCAATGCTGGGCGCCAGGGAAGTGCCCTGACGCCCTGGAAGATGCAGGAGGACGGGACTGATCTGGAAGCCTCCTCCATCAGCGAGCACTCGGAGGTGGGCAGAGCCGAGACCAGAGCTCAGAGGTCTCCGCTGACAACACTCCTGGGAGATGCAAATGGATACTGAATCCTCAACAGAGGAAAACTGCTTCACTGGGGAAGAAAGAACGACAATGAGAGGCTAGTCTCAATCAT